ACCTTCTGATGAAATAAAATGTGATGTGATTAGTTACTGTATTGCCCTGTTTAATCAATTTATATACAGTACACTTTAGAAAGCTTTGTACTGTACAGTGTTTATCATTTATAGTTAAATAGTTGTTTAAATATGGTGTTTATTGTCATTTCTATAAAAAGTTGGGCATCAGGCCCTTGGTCAGGAACATAACCCCCTTTTATAACATTGTTTCTGTGGGAAAATCAGATTCGACTTACATCGTTTCGACTTACAGCGCCTTTTCCAGGAACAAAACCTGCCGTAAGTGTGAGGGCTGCCTGTAATGAGCAATGACATCAGTTGATTCCCTCAGCAATGTCTGACAAGAAATGATTCTTGAAATGGAATCTCCCAGGGTCAAAAAAAACTCCATGCTGCAGGGTAACAGCGCAGGAAATGCCTGAATATGCAGGGTGTAGTGCTGTAGGCAGGTTTGCAGCACCACGTACTGCACAGCTGCTCTCCTCTGGACCCGGCCAGAGACCAGGCTGTCAGCATGCAAACTCTGTGCCTCTCTGTTGTCCCTGAACCCCAGCTCTCTAGCAATGTTGCTTTGGAGACTTCCGCCTAGGGACATCTGTCCATGAGGAGCAGAAAGAGCTTTGCAGAAAAAATAATACAGCCTTGGTTGGCAATGTAGATATTTTAGCTTAAGTTTGAGAAGCCCAAAAGGGAAAACAATTTGTGTCCACCTCTGTCATTGCCCTTCGTGCATTTACAGTCTGAAACAGCCCTGCCCTACTCCTTTTTCTATATAAATTACAGACTTTGCAAAGTACTGTGGTATTTGAAGAGTAGAGGACCAAGAGCTGGGTGATGCCCTTCTGCACAGGATGTTGGATTATACATGCAGAGCTTCCTTTTTGATCACAAAATTAGGAAGAGTCCTGCACTTCTATTTTCAATGCCTTCAGGAAAGACTGCAAGCAGTACTGGAAAATTAAGGCCGTGATCTTGCAAGCACTTACGCACGTGAGCAACTCTACTCCTGGAAGAAATCTTACTGAAGTCACTCTGAAAGGGGACATAGGATATAAATATCATGGGTAATTTCCTAGTTAATTGTAATCTGAAGAGGATTGAAAGAGCTAAATCTGCAAGTAGCATTCTATCTTCAGCTAATATCGTGGAACTATATTTAGTAACAAAGAGAAAGAAACATGGATTGACTGTGATTTTGTGATGCAATTTAGACAGGAGTTGAGCTATAATCCTAATATACTTTATCTCATCAGTAAAGCTGCAAGGTGTCATTTAAATAGTTTTATGCCTGTATTACTGAGAATGTGGATAGAATTGTGATGTATGTGCAGATGAATGTATTTCTCAGGAACTATTACAGTGGCTCAGGAACTATTATAGCACCAATGTTTCTTTTGCTCAAACTGGGAGCATTACTGCTGAGCATTTAGCTCCTGATCTAGCAAACATACTTAAGTGCTTTAACACCACCCTTAAGTGATGATGCTAACCTAAGACTTAAAGATAAGCCCATTCTTTGTTGGCTCAGTGGCTGTGTGCTGAGTACCTTAGAGAATGAAGCCCATTAAAGGCTTGCCTACACAGGGTAGAATACAGCAACAGATATAGAGGTATAACTCCTCCATATATGAGTTCCTTTATCCTGATTACTTTACACTATTCCAGAGGAACAACCTAAATCAAGAAAAGGCAATATGTGCTGCAAAGTATCCACATGATGAGTTACATTGGTATAAAACTATAATAGTTAAACTAAACCTGTATAATTATTCTGGTAACTTTCCCAGTGAAGACAAACTCTAAGAAGGATCACATGTAGAGGCAAAGTGAATATTGGGCATTATTCACTAAAACACACTGGCCATAGTTTTGCTGTAGTCCCCCATACCCATAACAGGAACACAAAGGTAATGTGTACATATTAGATCATGTCAGGGTCCTGGGCAGTTAATATGTAAGTGACATGAAGAAAATTGTGTTGTTTAGTGATTTGAAGAAAGAATTAACCATCCGGATTCTTGGGGTTGATTCCAGGAACTGATACTACATGACCCTGGATATAATACATCTACTGGAGTTTCGACTCCAATAGCCTTTGGATCAGAACTTTCACGTGACAGTATTTTTTGTCTACTGTAAATCTGTGGGTATACTTCATGACAGAGGTATTTATATACCTGACTTCAAAGTCAAGACATCCAAGTAATACTCAAAAGGGAGGGTAGCTTTAAAAAAGAAAAAAGAAAGTCCTTTAATCTCTACATTTTAATTACATCTCTAATTACTTTGATTACTTTAAAATAAGAACAAATTATATTTATCTTCCTCCAAGAGATATTGTAAAACAATAGTATTACACTGCTTTCCTTTCCTTAAATGGAAGTTTCTGTGTCTGTTCAAAGCTTTAATGAAAATATTCTATAGAGAAAAGAAACTTATTAAAATATTGAAAAAACATTTCTTAAGTGGTATACTGACATAAGTACTTTCTTCATCCACTGTAAAAAACTACAATGTGCAGATTTTGTATCTGAGTCACTGAGAACTTCCTGTAATGTTACCATAGCACAAAAACATTTTTTTGTATTTTGATTGAATCATAATGATACTAGTTGTAAATAAACCAGGTGGAACATGTTCTATTAAAACAACCAGTTGTTAGGAAGCAAATCTGGTATACCGTTTTGTTCACTATAGGTACCAGAAGCCTACAGTAATTCCAGTTATTATGGCTGCCTTAGGGTACAGACAAGATATACATTTAACATGCTTCAAATAAAAGTGCAACTGAAAGAGCTTTTAATCTGTACCATGTCTACAGTATACAGATGTTTGGTACCCACCCAGCTAAACTTCCACATTTCATAGAAACTGATGCAATTGCCATGCTTCACATATATTGGGTTGGGGAACAAGGATCCTAATGTGTATTTTGGTCATGATTATTTGGAGTCTTCCGTGGTGGAAATTGCAGAACCTAATGGATATTTGCTTCCAGAACTACTAGCTTGTGTTTCCTCTAATCATGGGCTTGTCAGGAAGTTACTGAACAGCATTTGCTTTTGGGTTTTTTCAACATATTTCTAAAAGGAATAATAGTCCCTCCTTGCTACTTGGGGACCTGGCCTATCCCTTCCTCAGCCTAGGAAGCCCTATTCTGGACAGTTGACAGACATAAGATGACAGACATAAAACTACTTTATATATAATTTAGTTATTCTATAAAGGTGCATATCTACCATGCCTACAGGCATGCACTGTTCAACTATTGGCTAAGCAGCTGTTATATCAGTGGATTGTGTGTTTGGGTGCCTCAGGACACAGTAGTGGGTATTGATCATTTTGGCTGGTTGCTGAAAGGGAAAGGAGAGGCACAGGGAGAAAAATAGAGTATTAGATGCCATTTGTCTGCTAGCTGAAGACGGCTATGAGGCATTGCAGCAATTTCCTCTCCATCTGGTTCTCCATTAGCCTCCATTAGCATTTCCATTGTCTGCCTAGCTTTGCCTTCAGCCTTGGTGGCCTTAGCATTCCAGCTTGCTTGGAAGGTAGATGCATTCTTGATCGGAGATAATCCCTTTCTGACCAGGTCAAGACAGCTACTCAGGACAAGCTTCACTGGTGCTTGCCACTCTTCTGTAGCACCTGCTGTCCTTTTAGATGTGGATACCATGGCTGCAAGCACCTTGTCCTTGCTCTTCTTTCTTTGCTACCTCAGTCTTGCCACATGCTGTAAACGAACTAATTATCCCAGCAGGGGAGACGATGCTGAAAGGAAACCAGCACGGGTTCATCACAGATAAATCCTGCCTAACAAACCTTATAGCCTTTTATGACCAGGTCACACACTGCCTTGACACAGGAGCTGAGGCTGATGTCATCTACCTGGATTTTAGGAAGGCCTTCCACACAGTTTCGCATCCTATTCTCATAGGGAAGCTAATGGGCTGTGGAGTGGACACCTACACAGTCAGGTGGGTGGCCAACTGGCTGAAGGACCGCACCCAGAAAGTGATGGTGGACAGATCGTTATCAGCCTGGAAGGAGGTGGGCAGTGGGGTCCCACAGCGTTCAGTCCTTGGACTGGTGTTATTTAATATCTTCATCAGCGATTTGGATGAGGGTGGGGAGAGCACCCTCTCCAAGTTCGCAGATGATACCAAATTATCTGGCAAAGTTAACACACCAGAGGACAGGGAGCAGATACAGGCTGACCTGGACAGGTTGGATCAATGGGTGGAACAAAATAGGATGCAATTCAACAAAGATAAATGTAAGGTAGTTCACCTAGGAAGGAGGAATCCCCAGCACACCTATAGGTTGGGGGATGACATCCTCAGCAGCTTAGCTGCTGAGAGGGATCTTGGAGTCATAGTTGACTCCGGGATGAACATGAGCTGGCAGTGTAACAAGGCCAGTCGCATCTTGTCGTGCATTAGCAGATGCATGACCAACAGATTGAGGGAGGTGATGCTCCCCCTCTATGCAGCATTAGGCCGCAGTCGGAGTACTGTGTCCAGTTTTGGGCACCGCACTTCAAGAGGGACACAGAGAATCTGGAGAGGGTTCAGAGGAGGGCCACTCGCATGATTAGTGGCCTCCGTGAAAGACCCTAGGAGGGGAGGTTGAGAGATCTGGATCTCTTCAGCCTTCACAAGAGACGTCTGAGGGGAGACCTTGTAGTCACCTATAAGTTTATCAAGGGAGGATAGCAGGGAATTGGTGATATGCTATTTACCAGAGCGCCCCAGGGAGTAACTAGGACTAATGGGTGCAAACTAGTGGTGAGTAGATTTAGGTTAGACGTTAGGAAGAATTTTTTTACAGTAAGGGTGGCCAGAGTCTGGAATGGGCTTCCATCAGAGGTGGTACCATCACCTAACTTGGAGGTCTTCAAGAGGAGGCTTAACAGTCACCTGGCTGGGGTCATCTGACCGGGGTCATCTGACCTCTGTCCTCTTTCCTGCCAGGGGCAGGGGGTCGGACAGGATGATCCATTGTGGTCCCTTCCAACTCTACAATCTATGAATCTATGAAAAGGTAAAGCTGATTTGCCCAGGCACAGTGCTACATAAATGCAACTATATTATTTCTGGTTTAGGTGGTACAGCTGGCTAGACTGGCTCAGACTGGACACAGTATACCCAGATCATGCAGCACCAGGTAATGTATTGTGCCCTGTTAGCAGATGACCCAGACACTCCTTGGTGTTATGAGAAAGCTCAGTGGTTTGGCAAATTAGGGAGCACTGTTCTAAATTCTGTGCAAAATTCTGGTTTCAGGAACTCTTCAGGGACACGGGGATTCAGACTTGAAATGCGGGATAGTCCTAGGAAATTCAGAACTGCTGGTTGCTTTCTTTCTAATTCTCACCTTATGTATTCGCCTTCTAAGAAAATGTATCCATTTTTTTTCCCTTTAGCAAGCAATTTTGGCCAATGTAGTCTCCTTCCTTTTTGCTTTGAACTTTCTGCCATATGGTGCAATGCGTAATATATTTTAAGAACAACTTCCGAGGCAACTGAGACTCTTAGCTACCTTTTCTCTTGTCCAGTACAGTGACTGCCATGAAGATCCATATTCCAGTTGTGGTTTCAGTAAAACATAGCATGAAAACAGTCTGAATCCAACCACAGGATGGAGATATCTGCGAACTGGGTAAGTCTGCTTTAGTTTCTGGCTGATACAATTTAATGGAGAAGTAAAGAGCAGTGGGGGAAAAAAGGGTAATGGGAAAAAGATTTTACTCATTTTGTGTGTTTTATCATTTAAGTGAAAATGCAAAGTATGTAAGTTTTCACAGTCTCTGGATCACAGAAGCAAAAAAAACCCCCCAAAACAAGCAAACAAAACTCAAGGTTTTGGTGTTAAGCAGAAAAGAAGAAAACGAATATACTCTTTGTTTAGCATCACCTGGCAAATGTATGGATGCTATTGGAATGCTCATGCAATCACTCATTGCACTGAACTTGGCATATACAGTGGAAAGACACCCTTCAAAAACTGGCAGTTTAGATGGAAAGGCTTCATTATGACAAACCCAACACTTGGGTGGCAACAGTCAGTTAAATATCAGGTCAAACGGCAGGGAGAAAGAATATAGAAATGAAAATCCCACCTGGAGAAGTGTCAAGGTACAGTGCTCTGACCTATTTGTATATCTCAAACAAGGATAAATAGTATTCACCCAGCAATTTTAATGCATCTATTTTGTTCGTTTAGCAAGTATGGATTTGGATTTATTTTTAAAGATCAACGGGGTAGTAACTGTATGTCAGATAAAACATTTCTCATGGCATTAGTTAACTTCAGGACTATCATTAAAAGAGAAGAACTTTAAAAGTCACGTTTATTTTTCCTTGTTTGGACTGTTTACTTTTTCTTGTGTTTATAACAAAGTTTAATCAGTGAAAAATCTACTTGCTACTACTTTCATGTGCTCACTTACTAGATCAAGGTACTTGGTTTGCAGACATTTGCAGGAGTACACCTTCATTCATATTTTTGGTAGTCAGGAATAGATTTGTTTTGATTTATGGAAATATTTCTAGTATCCATGTAAAACTATTGAAATGAATCCAAATGTGGATCCTAAAGCACCTGACCATACACCTTTAACATTAATACATTTTTATTTCTGTAGCATTCAACACTGGTGGCCAATAGCTACCTAATTAGTTATTAGTTTCACAATTGTTGAAGTTATTATTAGTTACATAATTATTTAAAATAGATTAATAATTGTGGCTGGTGTATTGCCATAGTTCTGTAACAGGGTTGATGTTTAAAGCTAGGTACAGGCTTTCAGAAAGCCCAAGGCAGAATTGATCTAAGTTATGCAGTTTTCTGTAAGGTGTGTAATTCAGATTGGTACCAAACAGAACATACATTCACCCTTCCTTCCTATGAAGGAAGTGTGTTGTTGACTTGTTGGGAAATGTCCACATAAAGAGACATGGCAAATGCAGCCTTCGGCACGCATACCATGGCCACATGATGTTCTCATTGTTTTACTACGGCTTTATTCGAGTAACTAGGATCAGAATATTATGATATCTTCCATGTTGCAGGGATATAGCTTGTAGCTGTGTTGGGCAAAAACATGGGAGATATCATAATTAGCCATTCGGGGACATAAACTTCATTGCTAAACAGAAAAAAAACCCAAAATTAAACTATGCCTGATGTCTGTGACCTTCAGGGAAGAAACCTGCTGGAGCGTGGCCTCTGCTTAATCTGCATATTCACAGAGCCACCATTACACAAATGGACTTTGAAACCCAGGGGAACCACACCATCCTTTACCTCCCCTATGCAAGATGAAGTTACTCTTCTACCTGGGAGAACTTTTACAATCTTTGAACTCTGCCTGATGAAGGGTGTTTGGACCTAAAAGCTTGGAAAGAAAGAATTTATTTTGCTACTATTTAGTTGATTTAATAAAAGATATCGCCTCTAGCATAAGAGTTTTGTCTGCTTCTGCTTTTTAGACCAACATGGTTACAAGCTATATCCCTGCAATAAAGCATTGAAATTTTAGAGACCAGTCCTCCTTACTGCAACACAGACAAAGCATCCCACTGATGTCAATGGGGAGTGTTGTCTGAACGTGGAAAGTAGGAGCTAACCATCAACTTTTACATAGTTTAAAGGGGAGTGGGATCTCCCGTTTGTGTATCAGTGCATTTTCAGTACAGTGTTAGAGTTTTAAAAGGAGAAGCGGGGACGGGACCCTCATGTGTTTTTAAGATCAGATGGATACGCTTGCCAAGATCTCCATTAGATTAAATCTTGGCATGAAGTTCTCCACAGTTGATTCTGTACTTTCTCATTTAAGTTTTTATTTGACATTTTAAAGACAGTGATAAATCATCCTCTCAGTAGCTATATTTTTAGCTGCATCTTTTCTGAAATCACTGCCTTTCTATTTTAGGACAGTAAACTTTCTCTGAAAAAAGCTCTTGCTGTTGCAGTGCAACTGTAGTAGCTGTTCTAGGGAACACCTCTGCAACTCTTCTTCTGCTTTTCAACAGGTAGCAGATCCTGTTTTAAAAGCTGAATCCCTCAGGGGTTTGGTAAGTTAGAAATCCCACAGGGACTTGTTTGCATCTTCTGCATTCTGTACAGAAAGTGCTGTGTGAGTGTTCAAAATCTCACTGAAGGTAAATTAAAAGACAGGTTTAGCCAAATTTTTCAGAATTGTATTCTTCATTCAATTTGTTGCCATCAACTTTTCGTTCTCTTTCACTGTTCAAACTTTGCTCTCAAAATACAAGATCAAACATAAGCTCTTGACTTGATATTCAGAATACATCATTTTCAAATGTATCTGCAATCTAGACATCATAGCTGTTGCTTCTCTGATTCTTAGCAATAGTTTTCCCTTATGTGTATGTTGACCTCATCAGTCTTTTCCTGTTTGTTACTGTGCGTCCATACTGAAATGTCTTGGTGATGACCAGAGATCTGAGCTTTCTATTTCCCACAGAAAAATGTGGATTTTCTCCTTTAAAGGTGAAAACCTGGGATGCCACGGGTTTCCCCTTGCAGGCTGGCACAGTTTCAGCCTTCAAGGGGCTGCTTGGGGCTGGGGGGAGTGGAGGAGGGCAGTCAGAGGCAGGGGGCGCCATGTGCATTACACACACACACACACACACACACACGTGGCCGACAATGCAGCCAGGCAGCGTGGTGGAGACCAGCTCCTGCAGCTAAGTCTATGGCATATGCAGATAAGCCTGTGGGGGCGGGGCATAGGCAATGTGTGAAGGGTGAGGAGGGCATATGTGATGCATGGAAGGGCACAATGGGAGACACAACTTGTGGGGAGATTGAGGCAGCAGTGGTGGCTCACACTGAGCCCACATGGTGAGGGACGGAGTGGGGCAGGTTTGGCAGTTGGTGGCTGAGGGCGCTGCCTAGCTGAGGCAGTACGTGGAGCCTGGGCCTGGGCTGGGGCTGGAGCAGGCAGGAACATGTGGCTGCAGGACCTGGCTGGGGAGTGGCACAGATAGTTCCATGCTGCTATGCGCACTTGCGGGGAGGGATTGGGTGATGCATCGGGGGGTATGGGAAGGCACATGCCTCCCCCAGATTTCTGCCCCCAGTGGGTCATAGGGCTTCAGCCTTGCTGGATCAGCACCAGACAGGAGCCACCTCTGCAGTCCAGTGGGGGGGGGCCTGGTATGGGCGGGCAGAGCAGGGTGGGGAGACTTGCTAGGGCCTCTGCCACTGCCGGAAACACTGCCACCATGGCTGCCAAAGTAAAGCGCCACATCGGTGGCACGTTATGCCCCACAACTGTGGCATCAAGCAGGGGGTGACCTTGGTGG